GCGGAGGGGGTGGGGGGCTCAAGCCCTCCATCACCAAGCAGGTAGGTGAGGGAAGGGGGAGGGAAGGAAATGGGGGCAAGAAGTGGGGGTTGGAACAGTGTAGTCCCGTGTTACAGTCTTCTCACCGCCTTTGTTCTTAAGCAGATATGTGGCATTTGGCCTGTATTCTCAGCATTCAGGAGGCAAGGTGATTGCAAGGTTGAGGCCAGCTAGGGCTAGGTAGTGATATTCTGTCTCTAAATAAACAAAAAAAACTTGGCCAGGCGGTGGTGGCGCCCGCCTATAATCCCAGCACTCAGGAGGCAGAGAGGCAGGTGGATCTCTGTGAGTTCGAGACCAGCCTGGGTCTACAGAGTGAGTTCCAGGACAGCCTCCAAAAGCTACCCAAAGAAATCCTGTCTTGAAAAACCAAAAAGCAGACCAAAAAACTCACAAATATAAGAAGAGGGCCCTCAGTAGTATCCCACGAGCTATTGAGGTACCAAGGATGTATCGATGAATAGTTGAGACCCCTGCCCTCAGCACTCACTCCCAAGTGAGGCAGGAGCAGTTACTTCCCTAGTGCCCAGAGGGGAGAAGGGCCCAGGCAGGGACAGGCTGGGTTTCATTTCTGGTTTCTTCTTCTGAACACACCCTCACTTGCTACCTTCTGCTGTCTGCCCCACCTTGCTTGTCTCAGCATTCCCAGACTCCATCCACGCTGAACCCCACGATGCCCGCTTCAGAGCGGACGGTCGCCTGGGTCTCCAACATGCCCCACCTGTCAGCCGACATTGAGAGTGCCCACATCGAGCGGGAAGAGTATAAGCTCAAGGAGTACTCAAAATCCATGGACGAGAGCCGGCTGGACAGGGTACGCTGGTCTTGCCCTCCCAGGGCTCTTCCTCCTTTTTCCTGCCAGGGAAGGCCCTTAGTCCTTCCAGGGAACAACATCTGTGCTCAGATAGAAGGGTAAAAAGGAAAGACAGGCAGACCTCTTTTCTAGTCTATTAGGGCCTTAAGTATCAGTCTGTTGAAACCTGACCCAACTCTGTTTGTGGGATATATATATATATATATACACTGTAGATCAGAGAGAACTGTTGTATTTAGGCTATACGAAAGAGAATGGCTTCTGGGTTAGGGCATGTGCGAAGGACACTACACTACCCAAACTAGGCTTTGTAGCAGGGGCCTGTGAACTGTTTCACAGGCTCAGGCAGGAAATACCAAGTTCAGGGCCAGCCTGGGCAACTTAATGATACCCTGTTTCAAAGTAAAAAGTAATAAAAAGAAAGCTATGGAATATAGTTTGTGGTAGAATGTTTGCCTAGAAGGTATGAGGGAGGCCCTGAGTATCAGCAAGTTTTACTCGAGAGAAAAGCATTCATGCCCACGGCGATCGTCATAAGCCTTGAGTCCCTCCTGTCTGTCTGTCTGGAGTTGCTGAGATACAGGGTGTCAGAGCTTCTCAGACTGCCTGTCTTGTCCATGCTTCAGATGAGGGGCCCTTGTTGAAGAAGGCTCCAGCCCAGCGCTACACACCAGAGCTATCAGGAGTGAGAATAAGCTGGGAACACACTGCCTGTGGCTGGTGGCTACTTATATGACATGTCTATTTTGTTACAATTCAAGAACTAAAATTTTACAGTTATTTAACTTTTAAATAGCTACGTGTGAAAGCTGGGAGTAGAGCTTAGTTGTGAGGTTTCTGGTTTGGTCCCTAGCACTGAAAAAAAAGAAAAAAAAATTACATTTGGCAACTATATTAAGCAACAGGGAAATGAAGTAAGTGATCTGAGCTCTTCTGACCCTGGAATCCCAGACTCATATTAATGGTCATATTCCCAGCCTGGGGTCCCTTGATCTCCTGTCTGCAGGACAGGCCTAAGGAGGGAGTGGCATGTGAGACTGTACCTGCCCTACCTCCAGCGTCGCCCCTTCATATGCTCAATCTTGGTTTGGAACTATAGTCCCTCTGTCTTTAATTTCTAGATAATGCTTCCCAAGGAGTGTCCAGTAGTCCTGCCAGGGGCCCTATATTCCCCATGCATGTGTGAGGGTGTGCACACTTCTAAGATGTGGGACTGTGATCTTGCTCCATCTCGAGGAAGCCTCAGTGTCCCATCAGGGCTCCCTTAAAAGCAGATCAAGTGTGTTCAACGGGCAGAGAAAGGAGTGGGTGCCCCTTGTGTCCTGCCATGACTGAGCAGATGGGGATAGGGACAGGCTGGTAGAGCCAGGGCAGGGCGCCCCTCACAGTGCGGGGTCCTGTGCCCGGCGGGCAGGTGAAGGAGTACGAGGAGGAGATTCACTCACTGAAGGAGAGGCTACACATGTCCAACCGGAAGCTGGAGGAATACGAGCGGAGGCTGCTGTCTCAGGAAGAACAGACCAGCAAGATCCTGATGCAGTACCAAGCCCGCCTGGAGCAGAGTGAGAAGCGCTTGAGGCAGCAGCAGGTTGAGAAGGACTCCCAGATCAAGAGCATCATTGGCAGGTGAGGGGCGGCCCGGGGAGGGGTGGGAAGGGCTGAGGCTGAAGGGAGAGGGGGAAGGGGAGGGGGAGGAGACCCCTTACCAAGCCCCAGCACTGAAGTACACCAATTACTGTCTCCCATCACTGTCTGGACTTAGCTGAGGCCTGGATTCCCTATCCGTTTTTCTTAATCCTGCTTGTAAGTTCACCACAAAGCTAAGCAGCGGACCCGTGTCCCTGGGCAGAGTTCCTTCTGCAGCCGTGGGAAGGGGTTCCATGAGAAATGGGCCTTTAGCTTGTCACCACTCCCAAGGGACTGCCTCAGCAAGGGCCACCGTAGCCAGAGCTCTGATGTGCTGTAACTGCTGTCTTGAGAGGGACTTACTGTCATGAGTGGAGAAACCAGTGTCGTCTTACGAAAGGACTGCCCCACTGGTGTCTGTGAGATAGGGCACCTGAGGAACAGAGGTTAATTATGGTGGCCTGGAGCTCAGATGTTAGATCAGCTGCCACACAGGCCTCCAGGGGGATGGCTGAGCTAGGGACACCTGGCTGACAGGGGCCTTTGAGACAGGAATCTAGCTGGGCACAGTTGTGCACACTTTTAATCCATGCTTTTGGATAATCTCATGAGTATGAGGTCAGCCTGGTCTACACAGAGAGGTCTAGGACAGCCAGGGCTATGTAGAGGCCAAGGCAGCAGTGTAACCTCGGCTACATAGTGCGTTCTAGGCTTGCTTGGCTACAGTGTGAGACTATGTATGAAGAAAAACAGGGAGAAATTAAATCAACTTTTATGGGTTGGAGAAATGACTCAAGTGGCTAAGAGGAAATATGACTCTTCCAGAGGATCCGAGTTAAATTCCTAGCACCCACATCAGGTGGCTCATAACTGCCTATAAGGCCAGCTCCAGGACACCTGCATTCTTACGCACACACACACACACACAAATACACATAGTTAAAAATAATAGAAATAGGTTGGGCAGTGGTGGCACACGCCTTTAATCCCAGCACAGAAGGTGGTGGATCTCTGAGGTTTGAGACCAGCCTCGTCTACAGAGTGAGTTCCAGGACAGCCAGGGCTACACAGAGAAACCCTGTCTTGTAACACACACACAAAAAATAAAATAATAATAATAACAACAACAGTAGAAATAAGCTGGGTGTCGTGGCACATGTCTTTAATTCTATCACTGGTGAGACAGAAGCAGGCAGATCTCTAAGGTCAGCCTTATCTACACAGTGAGACTGTCCCAAAAAACCAATAAATAAATAAGTAAATAAATAAATAAATTAAGTGCCGACAAGTTTTTAAAGAGTCCCTGAGAAGGCAGGCATGAGGACCCCTGGGAGGAAGTGGACAGCAAGATTAGCAGGTTGGAGCGGCTCTGCAGGGTCCCCGGGGTAAGAGCACTGCAGGTGGGCTCTGAGCCCGTGCCCGTCACTAACCCCACTGAAGCCCGTCCCTTCAGGCTGATGCTGGTGGAGGAGGAGCTGCGTCGGGACCACCCCGCCATGGCTGAGCCGCTGCCTGAACCCAAGAAGAGGCTGCTCGACGCTCAGGTGGAAATTACAATGTCATTTATCTTCTCCGTGTCCCATCCCCATCCATCCCACTGTCCGTGCTCATGGCGCCAGCCGCCCTGGCCCCACCGCCATCCGTCTCCCATGGTCCTGTTTGTCTACTGGCTGCTTCCTCTTTGCAGCCCGCAGTGAGCCACCTGCATCCCATTGTCTGTGCCTCTGTCACTCCTATACCTTCCTGTCCCGCCTTCCGACTCTTTGACTGCACCTCAGGACCTTCCACTAGAGCCTCAGCCTCTCAGCTCCCCTGTCCTCAGTGCCCGTGAACTTGTACCTCTTACTAGCCCAGTCCTGTCTGCTTCCTCAGCTCTTCTAAGTTCTACTGCATAGAGCGGAGCATAGATAATCAGAGCTGTAGCTTCTTCTTCAGCTCTGGGCACCCTAGAGACTCCCTATTCTGGTTGTCCCTGACTCTTCAGAGCCCAAGGCCTCTCTCTCCCAGAGGCCCCTTCCTTCCCGTAGTTCAAAATCAGCTCGCCTCTGGCCTCTGGTGTTCTCTAACCCTGTCTAGCTCCATCACCACCCTCTGCTCCCTGGCCAACTTCCAGCTTCCAGGCCTTCTGCCCCCTTGCCCCTGCTCTTTCCTCTCCATACTCCTCCTCCCTCTGCTCTGACCACCAGGACTCCCAGCCCCCCTGCCACCAAGCCTCCTGACCCCATGACCCCACTCTCTCCCCCTGCAGCTCCTCATCAGGTAATTCTCCTGGTTCCGCTTTGACCACGGGCGGAGGACACTGGGGGAGGTGACTCCGGACCACTGCAGGTTGGTGGTGAAGCCCAGCCTTCCAACTCTGTGCAGCCTCTCCCTCTCACTGTTGCCCACTATGCCCTCCTGACACCCCCTGCACAGACAGGCCCCTGCCCAAGGTACAGCCAGAGCACACCTGTGGACACCCCACACCCTTTGACGCCTTAGCAGTGCCAAACTGGATCCTTCCAAAGACCAAGCACATTTACAGCTTCCCCGGCTCTCTCCAAACTGGCCCGGCCAGCCACCTCCTGACACCGTCCTTCCTTTCCTCTACCTCTCCAGTGTCTGTCTGTCACCCCCCATTTCACCAGAGCGTCCTTGGGAGTTGGGATGTTGGTGTGGGTGTAACAGGGTGGGGGATATTGGGCGGGGCCAGGCTAGGGGGCCCGTGCTGACTCCAGCAGGTAGGTTGCGGTCCCCTCTTCTTGCCTAGTTCTTACCTTCCTGCTCCCCCCCCCCTTGACCTTTCTGCCTTGCACTTGTGAGGCAGAAGGGATCTGAGGCTTCATTAGTTACTACTGGGCAGAAGTTGGAAGTGGTCAGATGTCAGGCTGGACCTTTCCATGTGGCCTGTGACTTACAAGTGAGGAGAAACAGCTACTTCCCAGACTGTATTCAAGGGCTGAGTAGCGTCTCTAGCCCCAGGCAGGGACACTAGGAACCGCGTGTTGAAGGACCTCTCAAGCTCCTGAGTTGCTAATGCCACTCATTTATCCTCTCCTGCCACCCAGTAGCCTTAGGACACACACTCCTGCCTAAAAGCCGCTGAATGGAAGCTCTCAGGACACCTTAGCCCTGAGACACATACCTATGGGCTGATGTGTGGTGGGCAGTAGTCCCTCACACTGTAATTTTAACTCTGCCTGGCCGGCCTCTCTGTCAGAGTAGTTAGTGATCTGTAAACAGATGCTGAAAGACACCAGGGAACTGCGCCATTTAAAGGACTCCAGCAGTGAATTCTTTTGTAAAATGAATAATGGCACCCTAATTTATCCAGTTTCTAAATTTGGGTCCATGAGGGCGTAGGGGGCATGCCCATGTGTCGTCAATGAGCAGACAGGCAGAGTGGAGGCAATCTGAGGGTTCCTTCCCCTGTTCTGCTGCTGCATGTACTTAGGGATCCTACTACGCATAATCTCTCACGCTGGCTGGCTGGGAGATACCCAGATAGCCAAGAGGGCAGCTTTGACTAAGGCTGTATTTTGGGTTGCCTTGTAACAGGTGAGTCTCTGGTTCTGGTAGGGAAAGCTGACCTTGGAAACCTTCAATTCTTGTGTCCTTTGGAAACAGGGTCAGATACAGGTAGCTACATGCTGCCCTACCTAGTCTTGTGGCTCAAACAATAGTTTGTATATTTGTTCCAAACTATTTGTAGGCTTTGGTCCTACTGCAGCCCAGCTAGTAAAAATAAACATTAGTTAGTAGTGGCGCGCACGCCTTTAATCCTAGCACTCGGGAGGCAGGTGGATCTCTGAGAGTTTGGAACCAGCCTGGTCTATAGAGTGAGTTCTGGGACAGCCTCCAAAGCCACAGAGAAACCCTGGCTCGAAAAACCAAAAAAAAAAAAAAAGTAGTTTTGGGCTAGAGTTTTAAAAGCCAAGTAAGTGTCCAGAAGTGTGGGGGACTCAGGTGGTCTTCTCTCCCTGAGGAGAGAAGGTTGGGCTGAGGGCAGGAACCAGGAAGTTGGTCCCAGAGCCATAGAAGGTTCAGAAACTAGGTACAGGAGTGGCACAGGGTCTGCTGCTCAAACGGGAAGCCTGTGGAGAGAGGTGCTGCAGAGCATGGAGGGGGCCGTGGCAGGGGACGGAGCCGGGGCACAAACCAGTGCTTCTCAGCCTGTGAAAGGGCTACAGATCTGATATTTATGATTCATAACGGGAGCAAAATTGTTATGAGGTAGCAACGGAAATAATTTCACGGTTGGGGGTCATCACAACATGAGGAGCTATGTTAAAGGGTCGCAGCGTGAGGAAGGCTGAGAACCACTGGTCTAACCCTTTCAGTCACTCCTACCAAGCCAGAGAGGAGCCATTTCCCTTCCGTCTGCAGTGCGGTTGGTTACCTCTCTAATGTGGGGTGCCGTATTTGAGAGGCCCACTCTGAGTAACTGACAAAAGCGAATGCCAGTGTCTAGTTAGTGAAATGTCTGTCTTCCAAACACAGTAAGTAGAACTCTAGTCTGGGCCTCTAGAGGCCCCAGGGAGCGTAGCTTGCCCGGGTAGCTTAAGTCCCGCCCACAGGCATTCCCACCGGTTGCTTAGCTCGCCTTTCTTCACAGATAATGGAAACTCAAGCCCTGGCTTTGTTCAAATGATGATCTGTAGGGGATCGGATTAATGAGGTCCTCTGTACTGCCTCCCCTGGTTCCTCAGCGCCGAGGTGGCCTGGGGTGCGGGTGCCGGGAGGGGGCTCCACGGGGAGGGCTGGGGCCGCGCGGGTACAGTTCCGGAAGTGGGAGTGCCCTCCTTGGGAAGGTGAGAG